GGAGTTAAGCCTGGTTGAGAAATTCCCTGTGTAGCAATTTCAATAGCCTGTGTGGCTTTTATAACTAGGGAGTTAAGCCTGGTTGAGATTTGGGACGGTGTGTCCTTTGGAACCGGAGATTTAAGCCTGGTTAAGATATTGCCTTTATGGCGTTCAGAACCGAAGAGTTAGTCCTGGTTGATCTTGGTAACGAGTAGACCTGGATAGATACGTCTCGAGTAAAACTGTTATGGAGTAGGTATTTGCTACAGACGGATATATAGATAGATAGAGAACCAGGACGGGTTTGTTTAACTCTATTTTATATTCTTGAGAAGAATGAACCAAGAGTATGTATACTGGAGTAGAATGTTTTGAATTTATTGACGAACTCGAAATGTCAATTTATATAACTCCAAGAATAGTGGATGAGAGGGGAGGGGATGTATTCTGCTCTGATAAAATAAAAAATAATAAAAATTATTTTCCAAAAATTGTTTGAATAGAAAATGTTACTCAAAATGTGCTTTATTCATTATTAGATGAAGAAACGATCGGCGTTACTTCCATTTTAAACCGGTGTTAAAAAAAAATATTTCCATATTTTTTCGGGTCGCCTTTTTTCTACTAAAATTAAGGGGAGAAATTTTGGGTTTGTAGTTTTAATGCTGATAATTATATTTTTTTTGCAAAACTTTTTAAAATAACTGTTTTATTTTCAAATTCAAGTTTTCTAAAGATTGAAAAGTTTTAGGTTTAAATATCAGTTTGTACTGAAGAGCTCAGTATTGGTGTCATAAAAAGGATAAAATAAAATGTCAGTATAAAGATATAAAGATATAAAGATATAAAGATATAAAGATATGAAGATACAGCTTTCATCTAAAATAGAAAGATAGTTTCTATCCAATCAAGAAATTTCGAAATCCCCTGTTAATATTCTTCTATTAAACCGACAACTTGTATTTAGTGTAGAATATTTCTAATTTGATTGTTTTGCGTAATTTCAATTGACCCACTTTTTAAACAGAGGGGTCATATGTTCATTGTCTAATTCACAACAATACCCTGTAAAGAATTTCAAGTAGGAACGAAATCATCATGATTGGTTTTTGCAAATGTAATTTATATTTTAAAGCTGGAAAAATGGTGATTGTTGTATTTCATGAACAATTGTTTATTTCATGAACAATTGTTTATTTCATGAACAATTGTTTATTTCATGAAAAACTATGTATTTAATGAAAAAGCATGTATTTCATGAAAAATGATGTATTTCATGAACAATTATGTATTTCATGAACAACTATGTATTTCATGAACAATTATATATTTCATGAACAAGCATGTATTTTATGAACAATTATGTATTTCATGAACAATTTTGTATTTCATGAACAATTCTTTATTTCAAGAATAACTATGTATTTCATGAACAACTATGTATTTCATGAACAACTGTTTATTTCATGAACAACTATGTATTTCATGAACAACTATTTATTTCATGAACAATTGTTTATTTCATGAACAACTATGTATTTCATGAACAACTATGTATTTCATGAACAA